TAGGAAACCACTTTTTTAATGATAGAACCATCCTTTGCCAGGACTTGGAATTCGAGAGTAGGCCAGGATGTCTGTAATCTCCTCAAACAACTCTCTCCTTGAATTTCTTATGGCTTTACGAATTTCTTTATTGTATAGCTTTAGCTTATACTGTAGTCATCCCAGTCGTTTCTACTTTTGACTTTGTTAAATAGGCTTTTAGCCGTTGTTCCTCTAGACTGTATACCCTGTATTCTTCCTTGTTTTTTCCGGACAGTTTTCATGGTGAACCACCATGATAGCTTCACTCACCTTTGCAGAATACCATTCAAGACACTGAATGCCAAACAGGACCCTCGATTACCATTGAAGAAGTTACGTCAGCTATTAAAAGAACTAAAGATGGTAAAGCGGTAGGGCCTGACGAGTTTTGTGCAGAATTCCTAAAACTTTTGGATGAACATGGAATAAAATGGATAACAACTGTATTCAACAACATATACGTAACTGGAAAATACCCCAAAGCTGGTTAAAGTCGACCTTAGTGACCATACCAAAAAAAGTAAATGCCAAGACATGCGAAGATTACAGAACAATTAGTCTAATGAGCCATTTACTTAAAACGTTCTTGAAAGTGATACAAGGCAGAATATATAAAAAATGCGAAGAACAAGTATCGTAGACGCAGTTTGGATTCCGCGATTCCTTAGGCACCCGAGAGGCTCTATTCGCTGTCCAAGTACTTATGCAAAACTGCGATGTGTATGTTTGCATTCTGTCCCCGGTGTTATTTAATATATACTCTGAATATGTCTTTGTGCAAGCGCTAGGAGAACTACAAGAAGGCGCATAACGGAATGCGCCTAAACAACATTAGATATGCCGAATACGCAGTAGTTTTAGTAGAGAACACGGACTTGATCTTAATACGAAGAAAACAAAGTACACGGTAGTCAGTAAGCGCGAAATATTAACTACACAGTTTTTGGTTAACCAACATCCAATTGCCAGAGTGGACAGCTACACATATCTTGGTATCAACATTAACAGCCAATGGGATCACTCCAGTGAAATAAAACAACGCATAGGAAAAGCGAGATCAGCGTTCATAATGATGAAGTCTCTTTTTAAAAGTCACGATTTACCACTTACTACCAAAATCTCTCTCATTAGATGCTATGTATTTTCTACGTTATTATACGGAGTAGAGGAATGGACACTTTCCGAAGCTTCCTTAAGAAAACTCGAGGCATTCGAGATGTGGTGTTACAAACGTATCTTAAGAATTTCATGGGTGTATCGTGTTACTAATGTTGAGGTCCTACGTTGAATAGGCAAGGAATGCGAGATTATTAACACCATCAAAGAGCGCAAACTAGAATATCTTGGCCATGTTATGAGGAATGAACAGAGATACGGCTTGTTGCAACTCATTCTTTAGGGCAAGGTATTTGAAAAGAGAGAACCAGGGAGAAGAAGAATATCGTGGCTTTAAAACCTGAGAAAGTGGTTTAATACATCGACAACCGGACTATTCAGAATAGTAGCAATCAAAGTTAGGATAGCCATATTGATCGCCAACATCCGGAACGGATAGGCACCGTAAGAAGAGAAGACGCCTTTAAACAAGCTCATACTTTCCCCAAGATTTCTACTGAGGGATTCTCTATATCCCACCCAGTTTGTATTTCTAGGATTTCTGGATTCAACGGATTTAATTTCCGATGGAAATAAATTGACGTCACATCGTATATTTTGTGATCCGAATTTGAGGGTTCATCAGACACATACCAATTTTTGCATACATACACATACTTTGCTTGTACAAAGTATTAAATGTAACACTTCTTTGCTTTCCCTAGTGATAAAAGTTGGTTTGTTTCTATATTGGATATAATTAAACCTTCAGAGCGGATAAAATTCAAAATCCAGACTCACCCCTTGCGTCAATATTTGTGCTGCCCCACATGGCGTGGTGTGAGCTGGTATCACATCCTGTAATCAGCTGTAATCAATTACCTAGGCAATATGCATTTATATCACTAATAATGCTTGGTGGTTCTAGAGCCTGATCACCTGAAAAGGAGGTTGAGTACACCAAAAGTTTCTTCTATCCTACTTCCGTGGTTATAGTTGGAATACCTATAACAATTCCATCGGGGCAGAGAACCGGAATTAGTGTACAATGTACTCTATTACTGTGAATTTTGTACAACTTTGGCATTATAGCTTTAAGTGTGTAAAAAACCTTACCTTATTTGGTTGATAAGCCTGCAATCTCCTGCAGGAGGACAATATCAATGCCTTCTTAATCCAATTTTCTAAGTAGCGTTGCCGATGCGCCTTTTGCGTGTTGACGATTGGCCTGCAGTAGCATTATTTCTCTCTTCACTACGATGAGTTGTCCGGTTCTGGTTCCGTGAACTTCCCTTTCCCTCTTCTAAAGACAGCAGTCTTTACGAGTTAGCTGGTTCCGCATGAAGAATGTTTTTCCTCTTCTTGAACCTCTATATGCAGGTTTCCTCTAATTCACTGGAGTGAATGCTACTGGCTTTTCCAGAGCTTTTGGCTTCCCTTCTTTGAAAAAAGAAAATTAACTTTCCCACCCCGAAAAAGTTTATGGAGGTCCTCTCGAGATTCAGAATTTATTGAAAAGGTCCATAAAACTCCATTGTCTGAAGATTTGATTCTCCAGACTGTCCATAAATGTATCCTGAGCCCATGGTTACTTATCGTTAGTGTATTAAGGATCCTTTTGGACTCAAGACGTTCTCCATCTTCATCATATACGAAGAAAATACATGAGTGCGGCTTGGGTATATCTTCACCCTCTAACCTTGAGAGATGCTTTCTCCCTAAGCCTCAGTGTTTAAGTCACCTGTAGCCACCTCGCACTTGTGTCATCCGCATGGTTAAGATCTAGCTGGTTAAGATCTAGCTAAGAGTAGCCCGGCCTGTGGCTACTCTTCAGGAACCGAAACTGTAGTCCTGCTTCAGGAATTTCTTCATAAACTACCAAGATGGCTTTTTGGACTGCCTTAAGCTTATGTACATCTGTCTTGACTTCTGGAAATCCTGTTAGTACTGCCGCAACCTTAACAGAAGTGGAAACTTTGCTGAAAGTCACATCCTCGGTTCGTGGTCTTTTCCCTTTGCGTAGGCTTTCAGATGGTATGCTTCCGTCTGACTTTTTGGATTTTCGACCTTCCGAGTAAGGTTTTGTTTTATAATGACCTCTAAAGACTTTACCGACAACTCTTTGGTCCTTGCAGCCGCCTTAGTAAAATTTGCCTTGATTGTTTGATGATTGATTATAGCTGTTTTGGCTTGTGTGAAATCCTGGCATTGTTTTACCAGCTTACTGATCTGCAGCCTTAATCTCTTCATCTATAATGAGATCAACGTCTTCCAACGCGAGAGGTTTCTTTAGAACTTCCTGGCCTTTTGGCGTTTACATTTTCTTTAGAAGTTCTCTGCCCTTTAACTTTATTAACCGTGGCTTTGGCTTCAGAGTTCCCTGACCTTTCGGCCTTGGAAGCCCTTTGGCCCTGAGTTTTTCTTTTTTATTTCGTTTGTCCATATTGGTCCCACGAAGAGCTAGGGAAGACGATTCCATCTCTCGCAGAGCCCCGCTTACGAGGGTAAGGTCTAAATACAATGGGATGCGATCTGTTACCCCAAAGGAACGGATTAAGGAAGTGCAGAGCCTAAAGCTATGGTTTGTTAGAACAGTGAACGACGCATAACTCACAGTCAGTCGAACGCCGCGCACGTTCGTCAAAATCAAAGGAATGGTTCTCTATGATAATGGTTTGTTAGGTTCTGCTGAGCTGAGCGCACTGCAAAGCGATAGCCGTGTACATCGACGGTGTGCGCTGGAATCAATTGCCATTTGATTTGAACGCTAACGTTCAGCTGAACTCACAGCGTACACATCTTTTCCGAAATATAATTGTATTTTTATATAGTTATTATTATTGTAATAGTTATAATTAGGTGTATAATTAATAGTTAGGTGAGGTCTTCTTTTTTAGGATTTTTTAGTAATATCATCCCTTATAATTTGTAGTGAGTTTCAAATAAATCCCTGGAAAGTCTAAAATATTCTTAAAATTACGACATGAAATAATTTCGTTTACATTTTTATTTTTTTTTTTTATTTAGATTTGACATTACCAACTCTTGTTCTTCCTTCTCTTCTTGGAGGATTAACATATTGCGTTAAGTTTGCGAGAAGTCATTTTTCTAAACGTACAACCTTTAAGAGAACAAACTTGGAACTAATTTTTAAACTTCAGCGCAACAGAATCTATGTATGCCATACGACTCTAACAAACCGACTCACCCAAAACTGCCGTGAGTCGAGTACAACAGATTCTGCTGTACGCGTATGCCGTGCGCTGCGTAATGTTCTGACAAACCATAGCTTTAGGACTCGTCATGCAAAACCATTTCAATCCAAAACAAAAGTAAATACCTAAATTTAAACTCTATTATGAAATATTAAATAACTTAAGGGTTTGTTTCCCTCGCATTATTTTTAATTTATTGTGATTACGTGTTTATAATACTTTTTGTACTATAACATTAAGTACCGTATCAATATATTAGCTTAAATTAAAATTAAAAGACAAAACTTTTAACTATTGTCCTGGATAAATATTTCCGAAAAAGTATAAATTTGGGGAAAAAAATGCTTCATTGTTTGGTCATTTTTAAATTTAAGTAGAAAATGTATCGTCTTTTTGGCAACATTAAGCACCTATCTCATTTTGCATTTTCCTCGTCTGTTCAACAATAAATTTAACTGCGTGTAAATTAAACCGCTTAACATTTAATACTTACTGTTTATATTTTTCTACTGTAATAATTTAAATTTAATTTAAAACAATATTATTTTAAATTTTAACATGTGTGAAATATCCCCTGTTTTATTTCAGAATAAGCAAAATGAATAAGTATCCTATATAATTCCAACTTATCTAGACAGAATGTATAATTTTATTGAATTATAATTTTAGGATAGATAAATGTAGAGTAATGGACAGTAAGATGCGACCACTTTGGATAGTGTTCGAGAATTCAGATGCATATGGAGAAGACGTCTACATAATTTTTAAGAATGGTGATGATCTCAGACAAGATATGCTAACGTTACAAATGATTAAAATTATGGATAAGTTGTGGAAAAAAGAAAATCTGGATTTACGGTACGACTCCTTGATATTCTCGATATTATTTGAATATGTAATATATAGCTCATATAAGTGGTAATATGCTTATCGAATAACCTTAGATTAAAATAATTTTCACTGCATGTCATATTTCCCTTGTTGCCGTATTTTGAATCTGATATGATAGTCTGCTTTCATTAGAAGACTACTAATATTACAACTTACATTTCATGGTTAAACACGGTATAAATTTAGAACAATTAACTGATACCAATCAAAGCTGGTTAAATTATTTTTTTGGGGTTTAAGATTAATTAGAATTATTTATTTTTGATCTAAGAAAGAAAGAGTATGAAACAGAAAAACATTTAATGAAATGAGAAGATTAATTAAACGCAGCTTTGGGATTATATTGTGGAAAGGAGAAAAATACATAACTGTTTCCATTTAATTATTATTTAAATATGAAGTTAAGAGTAGTAATCACTTAGAATATACATTAACAACCATATTAAAGGTACCTACTTCATATGTAAATGTACAGCCTATTAAAACAAAATAAAGACAAAATGTACATTTAATAATATATTCTTATTTATTTATAATCTGAAAAATGGGTAATTTTATTATCGTATGTACTAAAAATAGAACAATAAAACATTTTATGCCAAATAACAACAATTTAATTAAGAAATTAATTTAAATATCGTTTAGAAAATTTTTTTAAATAATATATAATTAACTTACACTTTTACATAGAGATCAATAAATATAAAATATTTCTGCTGACGATTCTAAAGGACTGAAAATAATTCCATAAAACATCATCGCCTGTCTTTTATTAAAAATTTTTGAATTCTGTACAAAACTATCTAAAATAATTGATTTGATTATCATTGTGTTAAATTAAATTTATTTGATAGAGCAAAAATAGGAAAGATATAAGATTCAACAGATTAAAGTTGTTTTCAAATAAGCATAGTTTAGGAGAATCAACTTTTTAGAAGTACAGAAGAACAAACATTCCTACCATTCATTTTATCTCAAATGCAATTTGCACAGAACCTATTTGAAAATCTGTATTCGATTTTGTTGTAACAAACTCTATCAAACAAGAAGTTTATTTTTTGGCTTATACCCTATTGTAAAAACAGCTACAGTCTACGAATCTTACTGCATCCACAGACAGTGTTAGACTTTGTTCTAACAAACTTTTTCAAAATATGAAATTTATTATTATTTTTTTGCTTACGTCCTATGTCAGACATAGTGTATTAATCCCATTGCATTGACAAACAGAGCCTAACAATTTCTTTAAGCATAGTCCAACATTCATTAAGATTTCATCACTAATTATTATAATATATTATACAGTTCGAAAAACAAAGAATTTGAGGTCATAAGATACAACAGATCGTTAGATGATTCTTTGGAATTAGAACTTCTAGGTAATAATTTAGATCCTCCAGTCTGTTTGTAAATCCCCAGTAAATTCCTCTATTAGAGTTTACCTTTGTTAGTACGGAGTCCAATACAATAGTAGGGAGATAAAACACAGCCCTGTTTTAATCCGTTCGGCGCAACTATTGGGTCATATGTTATACCGTTGTGTAGGACTCGGCTTTTTGTATCACTATAGAGTTGTTTGATGAAATTTATTATTTTTTCCGGTATTCTCATTTCCTTTAGAGCTTTCCATATGACCACATGTGTAAGTGTCTCGATGGCTCTCTTCGAGTCTACAAAGCATATGAATAATGGAGAGTTGAATTTCTTCTATGATTACTCTAAGTGTGTTAATTTGGTCTATGCATGATCGGTTTGATTTGATCTAATACTGTTTATCAATCGGTTCTTTATAATCATTACTATTAATTTATTTATGGTATTGTGTGATTACTCTTGAGTTTTCGCAATATCTTTTGTCACCCATTTTTGAAATCCTTGCAAAAGTTTTTTGATTAGCTCTGTTGTTGCAGTTGGGCAAGTTTTTAATAACTCTGGTGGAATATTGTCAGGACTGGATGCTTTGTGCGATTTCAGTTTTTCCATAGTCATTTCTATTTCTTCTAGTGTTGGTTTATTGGTGTTAATTCTTAGTGTGTTCGTGTTGATATTGAGGTTTATATTTTGTGGGTCTTTTTACAATTGGTTGGTGGGTGGCATATCTGTTGTAGGCCAGCTTTTTAGTGATATTATCTAATTATCTCATATTTTGATTTTCATCGGCGACACGCGCTTCTTCAGCATGATTTTCTGCCCACTTTTTTTGCCTTTCCTTGCTGCCTTCTTGACTTTATTCACTTTTCTATAACTTTATCTGGGTCGTTTTTATCTATCTCTATCCTGAAATTTAGTAGTTCTAGATTGTGTTTGCGGCGTTCTATTTTGTTCCATGTTTTCTCTTTAGTGAACCACTCTTCTTTTACGAATTTTTTTAGACCCAAAATCTTTTCACTTTATTACACAAGAACGTTACTAATCGTTTCGCAATTTTTTTCCTACCTATCTGTCTGTCTGTTCGGTTCTTTCCTATTCTAGCTATCTTGAATGTAATTTCAGTTATCGTCAGGTAGTAATCACTAGCTGCATTTAAAACGTAACAATATGTTGAACGTCAAAATACTTATAGAGTATTAAAAAAATTATATAATATAGTATATTTGAAAAATAAGCTGGAGTAAATTCTCAGAAAAAAAACTAAATTGTTAAGCATATTGTAGTATGTGTGCTTTTCGTACAACGTCAATATTTTAGCTTATTTTATGTTGAGTTTGACTATTTAGATAGAAATTTTACCACGTCACACAGACTATCGTAAAATTTAGTTACCTGCTATTGTTAGAACAGTAGGCTATTGATTATTCAGCTGGTCATAGACGTACCTGTACCAAACCAGGAACAGGAAGACCAAAATTGTCGAAAGTGAATGTGGATGAATTTTTCAAAAATACAATTCGTAGAATGGTCCACTTTTTTTTTAACAAACAAATACCAACTTTAGATAAAGTTTTACAAGCCACAAACTTTAAGTATGAAAAAGTTGGCAGACATTCAATGCTTATCGATTCTCGTGTTGACTAGACTACTTCAGAAAAATAAAAAAATGAGGACATAAAATAAGAACATTTATTATTTAGACAAAACGTCGGTTAATGAAGGGCATACTGTAGGGACAGTTTGGAAAGACAAAACTATAAAAACATGTCGACAAGCATTTCTGGAAGGATATTCAACTGGTTTCAAGGGATCAACAGGTAAAGGTCGACGATTAATCGTTACCCATATAGGTAGTATGAATGGATTTCTTAAGGAGAGTTTACTTTTGTTTGAATCAAAAAAGACCTGTGATTATCACGAAGAGATGAACGGAGACGTGTTTGAAGAATATTTCAAATAGATGATTGAATTCATACCGAAAAATTCAGTTATTGTGATGGACAATGAAAGTTACCACTCTAGATTAGTTGAACGTTTACCAACTACTCAATGGAGGAAAGATGAAATTGCAGTGTGGATAACTTCTAAAAATTTAATCTTTGACGATACAATGACTAAAGCAGAATTATTAAAGCTTGCTAAAATTAATAAACAAAATTATAAAAAAATATGTCATTGAGGAGATAGTCAACGAAAAAAACGAAACAAAAAATTGAAATACTTCGCCTACCACCGTATCATTGCGAGCTAAATCCGATTGAATTAGTATGGTCCGAAGTTAAAATTAACGTTGCTCGAAATAATACAACTTTTAAATTGTCTGATGTTACTAATCTTTTTCATAAATCAATATCCGAAGTAACGACTGAACATGGCAAAAATATATTAATCACGTTATGGATATTGAGAAAAATATGTGGGAGCTTGATCATATAATAGATATCAGTATAGAACCTATAATAATTCATACCGGATCGGATAAGACTTCGTCTGAAACAGAATATGAGGAAGCTTAACTTTAAACTGTAGCTCAGAAGTTTATTTTACATTTGAACTAATTACCGTCAACTTCATTGTTTATTTTTTATTTATTTATTTTTTTATTGCTAATATAATTTTCATTCTTCTTTCCAATATTATTAGTATTAAGAATATTATAAATTATTAATAGGAATGTATAAAAACCATGGACGTATAAATAAAGAAAAACTTACAGTTTTTGTGTATGTATTTTACGTTTCAGTATAATAATTGTATTTTATTATTTTATATTAACTGTATGTTTCACAATTAATACAATTTTTATTCTTTTTATGTGTATCTTTTTATTTTAAGCCAGTATTGGATTGGATTAATTTCTTTGTTCTAAATATCCAAATAAATTTAACACAAACTTTTATTTTAAGAGTACGTTTTAATTAGAAGATGTGCACGCCTATGTATTTCGAGGTTCGAAGATTAGTATTCTGAGAATTTACTCTAGATTATTTTTCAAATATACTAAAGAGTATATACAGCATAGTAAACACAAATAGAAACTGTAGGTACTTATTTGCAATTTGTGCAGTCTTTTGCAGTATGTCTTATATATTATCAAAAGATGCAAACCTCCTTTATAGAGCATTATATGATTATATTCAGCTCCAATTAGGTTAAATTAATATAAGATAAAATAAAGCAGGCAGACAATTAAATAAAAAAGAACTTATGTCTGCCTTGTTACACTGAAGTATGTCTCTTTGCCTTGCTACTTTGTTGATATATAATTCACAATTATTTTAGTTAATTTTCTATTATAACTAGTGTTATTGTATATAAAATATTATTTACAAACAGTTGCAGCACAATGCTAAAAGGATTGCTACCATAGTACTTGGTTTTTTGTCCGGTTATTATAAAGTACTTTTAAATTTTCACCAGTACTTACTCATAAACCTTCACATATCACATTTTGTTTTATTTGTATATATTTTATATTGTTTTTTTAGGATGAATCCTTATGGCTGCATATCATTGGAAAATCGTGTGGGTATGATCGAAGTAGTATTAAACGCGGACACGATAGCAAACATTCAAAAAGAAAAAGGGATGTTCACAGCAACTGCTGCCTTTAGAAAGGGTCCCATCTTAGGTAATACACCTATTTTTAAATTAATTAATTCTTAACTTTAGTCTGTCTAGCATGTCACGCAATTTGATTAGTTTCAAGATTTAAGAACATACAGCAATATATTGAGAGCAAAAAACATAAAGCCTATTCTGAAACGAACAGCAGTGAATTGTTAATTCCTGGTTTCGATGTACTTTTTTCCTACAATCAACTAAAGGATAATTTACCAAACATTATTATAATATTAACTTATACTTATAACTTAAATAACACTTGACCATTTATAAAAATATCTTTTTATATGTCAAACATGATAGCACAAAGCTATTTGTGTGTCAATGACAGTACACCAAAACGAACGTCTAAAAAGGGGGTACACATATGCTCCGAATACCGTCTCGAACCCCGTCGCGTACAGCGACGCGATCAACAGAAGTTCGCGACGTTGTTACAGGGTGCATTGAAATAAGTAACGAACCGAACATCGCTCCGTACTTTGTACCAAACATTTAAGCGTTCCAGCAGTAATTGAGTTGAATTCGCATGTGCAAGATGGATCTTACTGCAGCAGCCTACATTTTTATGCATTATTCAGTTAATTAAACGAAAAATATTCGTGAAAGAAGATGGTGGCAAACACAAATATATAAAAGTAGGGAGAAATATGGTGGCAATCACTTACTCTTGGATTTAAAATTTCAGTCGATCAGTGGGTTATATAAAAATTTCACAAGAATATCTTTAAAAATTCATAAACCACTCACCTGTTCCTGTGCTTTTACTTTTTTTTATTTTTTCTTTTTCTCTCCGTAATCCAGATAGAAAATTGGTCATTTTTGTACACTCATCCACTGTAATTTCCATTTTAGAAGCAATCTTTTCCCATGACTCGTTTTTTATTTTATTGTAGTATCTGGGATTATTTGTGTCCCATAATATCTCTTTTTCCCGATAGTTTTCGATTAAGAGTAAACTATTCTCTTCCGTCCATTCCACCTTGATGCACTCAACTTTAAAAACACCTTCAACCTTCAAAATAACAGACTGACTATTTTGAATGACTGGAGATTCGATAAAATATTCGCAAGCTAGTCCAAACATGAATTCGCGGTGTACATTGTCGCGCTCAAATTTCTTTTGATGCGAAGGCATTTTACCGACAACCGATGGATCGCTTCGATGTACGTTGTTGACGCGTCGAGGTACGGTACGCGGTTGCATGACTCCGTCCAAACTTGAGAACGCGACGGGGTTCGAGACGGCATTCGGAGCACATGTGTACCCAAGTTAATGTCATTTTGTAAACAAAGAAAATTTTTGTACTTGAAAGCAGAGATAAAGTTGATAAAACACTTTCATTTAAAGCACAAAGCACAGCTACCTTTTTGCTCCGCTTGATAGCTGTCGATGACCTTTGTTAATCAATACATTCGTTCTCCTAAAAATCATTTTAAACAGTATATATAAATGTACCATGTTACAAGTCAAAAAGGTTTTGTTACGGCAACTATGTTTTTGAGTGTTATAATTCGACTGCTTAGAAATGGGTAAATATAAGTTTTTCAATGAGGATAATGTAACTGGCTACAAGTTTGCAATTACAATTACCAAAATATATGAACTGAATTTTTAAATTAGTTCCATAATTGTTTGATTTGATTCCCAGCGATTATCCAAATTAAAAAAAAAACTATAAGTTAAACACTGAGATTGCAAAAACTGTTCGCGTTTAAATAACATTTTTGCCGATTGACCATTTACCTAAAAAATTCAATTTCCTATATAATACCAGATCATTTAATTTTTAACTATCAACAAAAATGTAATAAATGACAAGTATGAATTTTATGGTAATACAATCTTCACGGATATTGCCGCCGCAGTACATATTTCTTTGTCGATAAGTGTGTTTGGATAACATGAATCGTTTATCAAAAGAAACAATGCAACATTGTAAAAATATCCAGTATCTCACTGCATAACGTCTACTGCACGAGTGGCTTTGCTGGACTTTCGAATTTTTTTCTGTGCGATGATTTTTTTATTTCAAGAGATACCTGTTCGACTATAGTTTCCATGGTCCAATTGTGTTTAATTTCCATCATATATGAATAGCAAAAGTGAATTACACACACTAATTACAAGTTTTTATTAATAGAGCGTTACAAAAAATTCTTCGTATATTTTGGTGATAATCTAATCTCGAATTAAAATTTGTGAAACCAAGCCAACCAAGAAGATATGATAAAGCAAATAAGGTGAAGAAAATGGAGATGGCTAGACCACACACTTTGTGGACCCCCGGATTACATTCCCAAGACTGCGCTTGATTGAAATCCTCAGGGCCGTCGCTAGGAAGCAGACCTAGGAAAAACACAGTACTGGATGAAGGGAAATAAATGGGAAATTTCTGGCATGAAATCAAAGCACTGTCGAGAAATAGAGTTCTCCCCATACATATACAAAACTGTTTAAAAAACAGAATTGTCCTGTTGCCCTGTTTATATTCTATATTATTTTTAAAAATTAAGAAATTATTATATTATTTTTATAGATTTTTATTACATATATTTTCTCTTGGTTTATCTTCTTCATAGTAATCTTTCATTTTTCTCTTTCCTCATTCGCTCCTTTATGAAGTTTTACTTTATTTTGTAACACATTTCTATTTCTTTTTGTATTTTTCGTAAATCTTATTTCAAACAATATTATAAGTTTGTTTTATAATATTTATGATTGTTATTCATAAAATTTATATTTTAATAAAGGTAACCAAAATATGATATTACATTTTATTTTAGCATGGTTAAAAGACCACAATACTTCTGAGACTGCCTTAAATAAAGCTGTTACTGAATTTACTCTATCATGCGCTGGTTATTGTGTGGCCACTTATGTGCTGGGTATTGCTGATAGACACTCGGATAATATTATGGTTAAACAAAATGGACAGGTAAAAATAATTTATTACGTCATTTATGACACATTATCAGTATAAGAAATTAATTATTCGTATAAATACATACTTCAGAAGATAATAACGAAAAAGTTTATATTTTTCTCCAGTTAGTAGCTTTGGTTGTACTAAAACGTCATCTATAATTATTGCTTATGGTTTACTTATACTAACTAACTAATTTGCGCATAATAATTTGGTAGTGTCTTCTCTATTTTTTATTTAAATCTCAAATCTTTTTTCAAAATTTTTTAAATATAGTAGTTCTTCGAATTGTATATTTTTGTAAAGTCAGTTAACAATTTAGGATCAGTCACATTAAGTTACAAACTTTACTTCATTTTCATATTAACCCGTTATACATAAAAAAATAAATGTTGGTTTCTGAATTTCCTTTGGTTGATCGGTCTAGGATTAGACTTCGTACATGTTATACTATTAGTATTTAAAACTAAAGCGATAGAGAAACAAGAGAATACCTTAAGAACTACATATACTGAGTGAGAAAAAAAAAACACCTACTGTATTAGTCTTCATTAATTTTTTACATATCGACTTATTTTGCCATGAACAACAAGTGATAAAATTTTCTGGTTTAAGCTGCGTGAATTGTTTGGTGATAAAGAATTGAGTTTTCGTGAATTTACGTTGTAAGTTAAATTTTAAATTTCGTGTGGCTGATTGAGAAGCTTTTTTTTTGATAACACAAAATGCCTAGTGGCCTTTTGATAACACAAAATGCCAAAAATAGGAGTAGAGTTCGCCGAGTGTCCCAACTAAGTGACTTTCGTGGACTTTTCTAGGAACCAACTGGGAGGTTTCTATGAGGACTAACAGATCTTTACGCAGTATACTCAGTGTGAACGAGCGTGGACTCAGAAAGGCCGATGACACCAATCTATGGTCCCTGGACGTCCCAGAAGGACAACAGAGTGAAAAGATCGCTGATTAAGACTTATGGCTCTAAGAGGCATATTCAGTAGCACTCGAGCCACCACCGATCAGTGGTTTAAAGAGCATTAAAGAATGGTTCGTATGCGTACGGTATATCGCCGAATATGACAGATTCGCCTTTTTTTATCGCTCACATTGGATGCTACCTCTCACAGCTGAACATCGGCGAAATCGTTTGCTCTGGTATGGAGAAAGAATTCTGTGCGACCGGGAATGGAAGGGTATGGTCTTTAGTGAAGAATTCTACTTCTGTCTGGAGATGCAGGATGGTCGGCCAATAATGAGAATTCGACGTGGTGAAAGACGTGATCCACAATTTGAAAGATAACGTTTACCTCACCGTGGAAATTATGGTATGGGGTGCTATTATTTTTGTGGCAGCAGATCACCACTAATTGTCTATACTACTTCTACACTATATTCAGGAAGTAGTGGGGACTCATCCTCTTCCATACATAAACACCATTCATTACTCGATTTATCAGCATGATAATGTCAGACTGCATGTTGCCAGAGAATCGTTAGCGTTCATGGATCAACATCACATCAACCATTTACCTTGGCAACCACGATCTGTCTTTAATTGAACACTCAGAGAAGTCTCAAGCTTATGAACATGAAATACCCTCCATAGACTATAGCGGCTCTTACTTACGAGGTTGCAGTAGCCTGGAATGAGATATCCCAATAGGATATCGACCACCTCATCAGAATGAGGTATGTCAATGCCCAGGCACAGAATAATGAACAATCAGAATGTCCACTCTCAGATGCCGCCTTTGAAGTTTTTCAGCACGCGCGCCATGTTTTAGAAGGAAACACATAACACAGATACAAGGTTATTAAAAATAGACAGGTTGTCTGGTAACTTTACACCAATCAGCGTCGAGAATCTAACGGCGGGAATGATGTCACTGAGAATGTTACATTCAAATTCATTCACTTTACTCCTTGAAATGAACACGAAAAGCAACAATGATTGTAAATATATTAATCTATGTATATCGAAAAAAATACGTTTGTACTTTTAATAACAATTTATTGCATTCCATCTTAAAAAAAATGTGGGAGATATGTACCTGCAGAGTTACAGAAATCATAAAATATTATTCCAGCTAAACATATGTAGTAGAATAGCATTACTATATTAAATTGAAAGTAGATTCTTTCTTGTGTATACATGTGACTAAATTATGTTAATATACCATATTAATAATGGATTAAATACAATTTATTTTTTTTAAATTATTTTGAATTGAGGATAATGCATAAGTAGATTATTATAAATTCCTCCAAACAAGTAAACCATGCTGAAAACGACATTCAACTAAAGATTTATATATCAGAATTAGTAGATTTTCCCTTAACTTTAATATATTTAAGTAACATCTGATTACATTACTGGATTATATAATAGAATATAAAAAATATTAAAACATGATTCCATTAAATAGATACCTTTTAAGTTGTACATAATTAACAGTAAATTATAAAAATCAAAATCAGTGAATTAACTCATTTTTACTGAACATTTAAATGACTATACCTACTTACAATCTTTTTCAGCTTTTTAGGTTGTATGTTTAATAGTTTAGCTTTTAAATCATCCATGCGAAAGTGTATACTACAAACTCTTTTATTAAAACAGGGCCACTTATCCTTCCTATGACACTTGCTCATCCATTGCTTTTGAATTTTTACATTTTTTGGAAATGTAAAAAACATTAAATTCCTTCCATCCTTTTTGGAATTTTTGAAATTATATTTGCAGATTGCTATACAAATATTTCCACCAGTCATCTGAATCAATAAAAAAACTGAATTAAGTTATGTTTTTCCTGCATTAATCCCAATGTTACCTTTACTATATAATACAGCAGAAATAAAATCCAATAAGACACAACCACGTTAAATGTATCTTAACACTTTTATAAGAGTTTTGGGTCCAAGTGGTATACTAAAATCACTCAATAATATCCATAGACATATTATATCTCAAGATATTAACATAAACTAAAGCACTAACGATATTTAACAACAAAATATATTCTCCAAACCACTTCTCCTATTTTGTTTTCAAAACAATTCGTAAAATTGACCCCCTGGGTGACGTCACACGTCATATTTCATTCTGTCAATGTCAAGAGTTAAGGTCGATTCAGACACATCAGTCACGTCTCGTCACAGTGATTGCGCCGAACCGAACAATCCGTCATACAAAATATTCTTTAATACAAATATGTTGCCGGCATTCACACTCATCAGTTGACAAACAGTTTCCCAGCTGTCAGATAGTTGATAGTTCTGTGACCAAACAGGGCCGGTTCGGCGCCGAGACTATAACGGGACTGATGTGTCTGAATCGACCTTTACCCTTCGATGTTACCCATAAATAACATTTTTATTATTTTTGTTTTAGATTTATTGTTCTTTTTCGTTTTATGTTTATTGGAAAAATGATTATCTTTTTATTGTATTGGTTTATTTTATTTTGTAGTTGCAACTTTGTTGCAACACAAATATTTTCCTGTTTTTGTGATTTTATTGGGAAAAGTGCATTATTCTTGTTCTTTCTTATTTTATTCTTATAGTTCAAATTTTTTATTTACTGATTATTAACAAAATAAAGATTTTTGTCATTCGATATACAATTATTAATATGTCTGTGCACTTGAAGATCTAAGCTGTGCTAGTGACGTATTAAATGCGTTTACAATTAATTACATTATATATATATATATATATATATATATATATATATATATATATATATATATATATATATATATAATATATATATATATATATATATATAATATATATATATATATATATATATATATATATAAATAGATATATATATATATATATATATATATATATATATATATAGTAAGAGTAAGAGAGTAAGAAAAAAGAAGTAGTTGTGACTCGTTTGGAAAAATATATAAATATGTTTTTTATGGGTTGGAGTCAATAAAAGGGGCTATTGGTAAACTATTCTTTATGTCAAGCTTTCAATTGTGTTTACAATCTTTATCAAGATCTTCTAAAAAATAACAAAAAATCTTACAAAGTGAAACTAGAAAAATAAATTTTAACTCGCCAAATAAAATTAGTTTTGTTAGTAATGTTATATTTTTATTATAGTTCTAATTTGTTGTCTTTATTCTAATTTACTATCTTTATTCGAATTTATTAAAACTCACAATAATTTATTACCAATTTTTTAAATTCTCTACAACTTTAATACGTCCGTACATTTACGCGTTCCGCGAGTTTCTTTTTTTCACTGACTTCTTCAATAAAACCTCCGTTATTATATATGAAAATACAGCTATTCGAGAGTTCAGGCGAACCCCTTTGATAATTCTAGGCCGGGTCATCACTCGACCGGTTTCTCTGGAAACTTAGAACGGCCGTTTCAGGTATATGTCTGCCAGATGATCGAAAGATCTGGTCCATTCTACAACATATTTAGTAAATAAACAACAAGTTTACAGGTTTATTTTAATATGACTAATTTTTACGTAACATTGCCCCCCTCTTAATTAAAAGATGGTTCCTCCTGGAACCTTGTCGGGACTGGAACTGGAACGACATGCTGATATCGGCAACTGGACCCTCTTTTACAACTTCCAGTTGTATAAAAATGACATGTGACGGTTTTCTCTCCACACCAGTAACTATGCGGATTGCAACAGACTAACACCTGGACTTCGGTGTCTTTAAAGATCTCTTCCACCATATTTCGGATAACCCTCCAATCTAATTGGCGGCACTCCAACTTTGGCATGGCTAACTTTTGCACGTCGAACTCTAGTACGTGCTCTCTCAATTGAAGCAATGCTTCCCATACATCTGGGTAGGTAGGTTGGTCACGGGCAGTGTCTTTTGTTAACAGGTAGAAAAGGTAACGTGATGCATCTTGGAGTTTCAAGGTTTTACCGGGAGCTGGCACTTGGCATTGAAGTTCTGCAACTCGACCAAATTTCCTTCGAAAGACGGATGCCAACCCTGGTGCGTCTTTGATACTGGCCGGG